TATATATATATATATACACACATATACACGTACACATATGTATACGCAATTGTTGCTGTCAGAGACAAACAATAAAGTAATTCATTAATTAATAAATCATCAATAAAACAAATTTATGTATACGTATATAGCGCAACTGCGATGAAGTCATTCGATTACACGTGGTATCGTTAAGGTTGCGTAAGCGTTTGAACTCTGCTCGAACGGGCGATAATAATTTATGCGTCTAATGCGGAAAGAGCGGAGGCATACGGGGCAAGTAATAAGTCAAACTTGGCGAAAATGACGTCGCTCCGCAAGCACCGGCGAACAATTAAATTATCGTGGAGGCGGAGCAGATAACGATGCACTCGAGGATGCAGCATAAACCACGGTTTATACCGCGTGGATTATGTACATGTATAACATATCACATAGACAGAGAAAGGGGAGACTATTACACACACTCTCTTTCTCCTCCCTCTCTCTTGCTCCCTTTCTCCCTCCCTCCGTTGCATCCCTCCGCGAAGCTTTCGCGCGCAAGTTCCTGGCATTCCCATGTAGAGTCGCTAGCTCTCAATTGAAAGTCGGTATAAATACAATGGACGAGCCATGTTATGTAGGTAAATGGGAATTCTGCCGTGAAAATTTCTTCCTGCTAAAATTGCGAATTCGTTGTAAGGAATGGGGGAGGGGGGGGGCGAAATAGTGACAGATTTTTTCCTCTCTCCCTCTACAAACTAATTTCAAGTTTACAAGATACGATTTTTCATTAAAAGAGTACTTTCCACTTTCAAATATACAAAAACCTTAATTAGAGTTTCCATAAGTTATGTATACGGGCTAGATTTTCGTAAAAACTGAAACTCACATATTTGTCACTATTTGCTGCCCCACCCTCAGGGGGTAAATAGTGACACCCTATGGGACAATTACAAAATACATAATTTTTAGCTCCTAATTGATCTTTTTTTTGACATTTTGATTAGATAAAGTAATTTATATTAATTTCTATACTCTACCATATGTAAATTTTTATTTATTGATAAATAATAGTAGTAACATTATTTGCTAGTATTTCTTATTGAAAATCACATTTATTCTGGATCTTGCCTTGTAACTAATCTCATATTATCCCAAATGAATTAGAAAAATCATATTGAAATATTAGAAAAGCTTTTTGACTTGTCATTATTTACTCAACTAAAAATTGTCATTATTTGTCCCAGGAACTACTTTTTCCTTTACAACTTTACAGAGAGAAATAAAATTAATATAAAAGCATAGAAATTATATCAAAATAGAGGAAAAAGATACCGTATAACACAGAATAGGTTAGATTTCATTCGATTCAACGATTCAGCAATTTAAAAAATATAACTTCAAATATCAAAAAAAGATCCAGGTTTTACCTTATTTCACGAATAAAATTTGAAACTTCTCCGCTAGCTATATTTGGCTTTTGATTTTTACGGTTTTTTCATAAGATGATTAGATGCTTGAGAACTATCTATTAACGAGTAATGGTAAAATAGATGCGGGAAAGAGGAGAAATTTAAAGTGACACTATTTGCCCCCCTTCCCTTACACGTAATTTTTGCTCGCGTGCCAGATTGCAATCTCTCGATGACAATTTACATATCTACGCATTCATTGCGTGAAAGTACTGAGATAAAAGTCTCATTTACTTTCATAAAATGAAAATGCTGTTAATGATGCATTGGTTCGTTGCACACTATTGTGTATTTATATTTGTATTTACATCATATCGATTTTGTTAACAGCAATTTGATATCAGGCTCCGCGATAAAGCAACATTTTGTCGTATTAAATTAATGTGTAACATAAATACGGCATATAATCTTCTCCTCTGTTGTAATTATCATTAATAAATTATTTGAAAGCTAAAATCCTAACACACGTTAGTGTAAATTATTGAACAACATCAATAGATTACTGATAATTTTGACATTTGTTGTATTATTTGTGTATGTATCAAAATATGAATAAAATAAGTATGAAATATTTCATAAATTATTGATTTTTTGCTAAACTTATTTTAATATTTCTTATAATCATTATTTTTGCAAAATGATTAGAGGAATTATATTTTATTAAAAAATTGATTTAAAAAGTTGAGTTGCTATTTGAAATTTTCATGCTTCTATGCACAACGAAAATACTGCTACTACATTACGTATCTCCTATAAAATCTTAGTTTTATTTTTTCCTGTTATTTAGAATAGCAAAGATATTTAAAGCAGTAACTTGAATTAGATGGAGTTATCTGCGTGATATATGTACATGTCGGAGAAAACAGAATAGTTATAACTATAATGCGATAATCAACTATAATGTAACTCTTAAAAAGTACCTGCAATTAGTTTTAAAATGTCATAAGAAATGAAAATTATTTTGAAAATCAAAATATAATCATTACGAGATGAAAATTGGATATATTGACATTATTTTATTAATTTTATATAACTATAGTAATGAAACAGCAAAAGAGAAATAAAAATTATAATTATATTTATATATATAATAATAAACTATGACAATTATATTCTTTCGGTTTAGACAAACATTTATCTAAAATCAGTCATTACGCCATAATGACATACTATAACACATTTTCGCTATCAAAAATATATTTTTTTCGTTTAAAAACTACTTATATTACTATTTTTTTGTACTCTATCCTGTCATATTTTGATTGACAGATGATTAAACATTTTTGTGTTTTCTTAAGTATTTCATACTACTTATTTATTTATTTTTACTACAACTTCGTAATAGTTAAAATGTCTATTTTCTATTTCTCTTCAATTTTTTAGTAACGGGTACTATTTTTTTTTTAAGTATATATACATATATATGTATATTTATTTACTGTTGAATTCACGATTTATCTACGCAAACGATAATATTGCTAACGAACGATATAAAATTATTTTATTTTTTGAGCGATTCGATGTCTCTCCATAATTCACACGATGTATATCGAGATATATGTTTTTCTTTGCAGGACGAGGTGCTGACGATTTCAGAAAAAGTAGTCGTCCGCGTGCACGACCTAGTCACATGGCTTTCACCTACGTTGGAATGGTCGTGGGGCCGGGAGGTGTCCTATCCGACGAGCCCGATGTCGTCCCCGGAGACCAGCCCGCTCCGATACGAGATGCCGCAGCCGCAGGTACTGACGGATCCGGGGATCGACTTCTCGGACGTCGAGAAACAGCAGAAGGAATACGAATGCAACATCAACTCCTTGAAGAAGTCGGACAGCTTCCAGACGAAGGTGGTGGTGCTCTCGTATCCCAGGTACTGCCGTTATCGGGCGCTCCTACGTAGACTCGAGGGCGCCGAGCCCTCCTGGCTGTGCTCGTCCATCGCGGCGGCGTTGGGAGGCTTCACCGCGATGCCGGGCACCAGGGTGCTCTTCTGCAGGGACACATTCGACTATCCGGATCTCGAGACTCACGAGCTGCTGTGTAATCACTTAGGTATGCACACAATTGTATCGATTATTTAATTTTAAACTGGAGAAAAAATCCACGATTCAAGTTCGCAAAAAGATATTGCAAGAGGAATTTCTTGCGCATCTGTTTTTCTTCTTATTACATCGATTACATACTTTTTGAGAAAAATTATTTCGATTGCGAAAATATTTGTATTTGTCTGTTCGTACGTGTTTAACTGGATACTGGTATTTGTGTGTTTAACTTGTATACATATGGTAAAGACGTTCGTAACATACAACCTTAGAGTTTTGTTTACTTTACTTTTGTTTACTTTACTACGAACGTATTATATTACCTTACTACGAACGTATTATATTACGTGTAAGATTATACGTAGATACTATACATAGTACGTTATTTATAAAATCTAAGCGCTGACGCATCATTATTAACTACTTACGTATGTACATGCCTTGTAAGTATCTTTCGAAACATGAAATACCAATATATACTGCAATTACAAAACGCTGATATGCTTTTGATACTGGGAGCTTATAGCGATGTTTCAATTGTAATTATTTATTACCAATAACTGACCACACAATATATCTATCAATATATCTAATATCCGCAAACACACAATATATGTATAATCGAGCACCTCAGGCGTGTAACATATCTTTACATTGAAAATAATTTTTCTCGAAATACGCGCAATTAAAAAGATTTATTTTCTACTCTTTTTGTTCATTTCTCTTTCACAAGGAAAATTGCTTTCTATAATTTATTAATTATAGTTTATTAAATATCCTGTACAACTTTGACTTGAGAGTTTTTGACTAAGCATTATTTTATCGTAAATAAATAAATAAAAAAATATATAATTTGACGTAGAAAAAGAGATACAGAGAATACAGAGAACGGACTTGCAAAGGAAATTTTAGAACGTTTCGATCGGATGTATTTCAATCTTCCTTCTCTCATTCATTCGTAAATTAATACAATACAATTAATATTCTGCCGTTTCAATAACGAAATAAACGAATCGTAATCAATATCTTTGCGATATAAATGAGCAACGTTAACATAGAGCTTTTGTGCGCAATGATATCTTTTAAGGCTTCGCCCGAATCTCTCGCGGTAAATAAATTTACAATTCACGCATTTATACGTCACAACGCGCGTCGAGGCGGGGAGGGGGGGGGAATCCGAATGTATTATATAAAGCAAGAAATGAGCGATATTATTTTCGATTCTCGCTCACATACCTCTCTGTGTATATTCGTTTGAATACGAAACGCAAGAATATAATATAACACAAAGATACCGATCGGCAAAACATAACAGAGCGCGGGGTTCGCTCGCTTAACAAACACACACATACGTAACACGAGTGCAGTGCCGACGCTGCCGGCGACCGGCCCGCGCCGGCGCTGGGAAAAAAAAAACAGTTTGCGCGGCAGCCGGCACGCTGTCTCATTGGCGCCGCGCGCGCCGCGCGCTCGATCGCGGAAAACAATCCCTGAAGGATGATGTAATCGAACGAGATTAAGGGCCCCAAGCGGCGCGGCGTGACGTGGCGCTGAATAGTTATACAGTTAGGCCTAGAGATTCCGTTGTACGGGATAAAGCCTCTCTCGCGCGGCGAGATCGAATCCCACCGTCTCGTCGCACTCGTCCGTTTGTTTCCCCGCGACGCATCGCGGTCGCGGTCGCGCGCGTAATTCGACACACATTCGAGCGAGGCGGGCGAGATGCGCGTGCACGCATGATCCTGCGCTGACGACGACAATTATATTTACTCGCGTGCATTCGCGTCCGACGTGCCCGAGCATCGCAACCGAGCGAAAAAAATCGGCCCTCTCCTGCCCTTTTTGGCCCCACGTGACCACTATTGACGTTCGTGTCGAAAATCCGATCCGCCGGTTAGTGCGTATTTCTCTCTCCTCCCCCCCCCCCTCCCTCCTCCTCCCCCTTCCTCATTGTCCGGCTTCGATTGGCCCCGATCGAATTGCGGGTTTTTTGTCGCGATCCAAGTGTGGATTTTTTTTTGGTCGCGCGATCTGGCTGATCGCCAGCGAGGAGAGACGCTTTATCGCGATATGGTATATATCCGTCCGTGCATCGGAACTACGTAGACGCGAGTATTGTGTGTGTATGTATGTGTGCGAGTGTGTGTGTGCGTGTGCGACGGGTGGACAGTAGTGCAAATAGTACAGTCCGACGAGCGTGAACTTGTACGTACCACACACGATCCGAGTCCTCGTCGACCGTACACGCGTTTCGCGTATCGCGGAAACGGCGGAAAATAGCCTGCCTCGAGAGTACGACTGATTAGCAGTTGTCGCCGGACGACTAGAAGAGTCTAGAAACGCGGAATTCATCGGTTGACGATTTCCGCCGGACCAGAGGAGATCCCTTCTCCCCCC